ACAGTTTGATACCAAAGTTATTGACATAAATTCATGAAATAGTAGTTCAATAAAATTTTGAATGTGAGTCAACAAACATGTTAACAAGGACTTTCACTCGTGACACATAAACAAATGTAGCTTCATGTTACAATTTGAAGTCAATCTATGGAGAGAGAGAAAATAAAAGGTACTTTAAATTTATTTTGATTATTTATTTGGTGTTTATGAGGTTGATCTTACAGAGTTAGGGTAAAAACAATAACAGATAAAAAAAATTTTTTAGAAGGTTTGAGGGTTTACACAAATGAAATTTGAGACTTTTAAGATAAATAAAAGTATTTTTAATCTTAACAGGAAAATCACTTTGCACAGGAGCAGTCAACACTTATTTTTAGTGAAAATACTTCATTAAGATTCTGATTTTCTGTCTACAAATGACTTTCAACACTTACTGAAAGCTTACAAAATTTTGTTAGAATACACACAACATATTAGAAGTTATAAATACGGAAACTCTAAAGGCCAATTTGTATTTCGAATCAACTGAGTCTGTAGTGAGAAAGTTAAGTGGAGAAAAAAATCTAAAAAGCAGTTCAGCTGTAATGTTGAAAACTGGGTTTCAATACACATGGTAAGCACAGCATAGATTGCCTTGTGTGTAGCCTTGTGGTTAACTATAAATAATAGTTATTTGGTCAGAAGCAAAACTTAATGACTTTTTGAAGGGTACTCAAACACCAACTGGTTTGGCAATGTTCTCCTTTTTATTGATTTGAATACATGGACTAACCCTCATCAGGTTTAGTGATTAAAGTTAATGACAGTGAAATGTTTACTGAAATCCCAGTAGAAAATATAACTTGTTGAATAAAAGGTTCAAACTCAGATAAACTTTCACAAATATTTAGAATTGTTCCATATTTAGTTAGATTGAAACTTGAATTTCTCAGTTATTTTCTATTTTATTTGTGTTATTGTGTAATGATTGGACCTTAAATGCCAAGCATTCAAAGTAAGATTCAAAGAAAATTCTCTTGAAAGTATTTGAAACTGTCAGTAATTATTAGGAAATAAGTAAAAAAGTTTACTTTTTCGCTTTATGTTTAAGCATTTTTATTTGTTTTTCAGGTGGAAGTAGAGGGCGTGGTGACTTTACAAACTTTGGAAACAGAACAAGAAGACCAAATGGTGATAATCGTGGTGGGGCATTACCTCCACGACGTGGAGACTTGTAAGTACATAATAATTTACATATTTGCTTTCCATATAAATTATATTAAACCCAAATAAGTTACCATTCATTTTCATTTCAATATCATCAGTGTTAGCCCATAGAAGCATCTTCCATCCAAACCTGTGTTGTTGCTGTTAGAATACCTGAAAATAATCAGAATGTTTTATCAGTTTTTGAGTACCAATATTATTTACAACATTCTATTTTTTATGAGAAAGAAATAGGTATTTTTTGCTTACTAGAAACCACAGTACTTTTATTTTTCATGACATGACAAAATATAATAGTTGGAAATTGAGAATTTAAAACATCCTACAGATAATCATGGCAGGATGTAATTTATGTAAATATTTTTGTAAATGAAGTTGTTAGTCTTAATTTGTTAATTTAAGTAAACCCCTACCAGAGCAGTTTCATAATTTTTTTTCAGTGACCGTAATTGGCGTGACCCAGAAAGTGTTCAGAAATTTGGTGGTCGTGATGATCGGAGTGGAGGATATGGAGGAGGTACTTGGGACAGGAGGAATGGTGGTATTCGTAGGAATGACTTTGATGACACTGATTGGAGTCGGCCCTTGCCTAGAGATGATTACACAGAAAGGTGTTTTATTAAATGTGTTGTTAGTAATTATGCTGAATAGTTTTTTGTTTTTTTTTGCTCTTCATTAGTGCTTTGACGTGGAAAATTTTAAAAATTTGATGCATTTGTAAATATAATGACATCAGTTAGTATATTTTATTGCCAAATAACATCAAACTTTATAAAATGTACAAAAACATTGGCCATTATAAAAGTTTTATAAGCCTAACAATCAGAGCATATTTTTAAGTAACAAAGTGAAATTTGTTGTGAAAACATTTCACTGACTTTCCCAGTTAAGAAGTCTTCATTATAGTGCCCTTTTAAGCATAAACAGGAAGTTATATTCTTGAAGTGGCGTGTATTACTGAACTTTCCCTCCTGGTATATTAAGCATTAGTATTTTTGTTTGCACATTGCTGATATTTGTCAAAATAAAGGTATGTATTTTTAAAAACATTCTTGTGTATCTTAAAATACATGGATCATAACCTTGAAATACATACTGAGTATAATAATTTAAACTATTAATTCTTTCGCTATGGGCTTAGTTGATTGGACCTTTAGAGTTTCTATACTATAACTATTAATATGTTTTGTGTATCTTCATGAAACTTTTCAAGTTTTCAGTAAGCATATAAAAAGTCATTTGTAGATAAAGAATCTGAATTTTTAAAAAGTATTTTTACTAAAAGTTTCTCCATGTATATATGAAGTGAAAGTATTGACTGCTTGGGTGCAAAGTGATTTTCATCTTAAGATTAGAAATATTTTTCTTCGACTGAAAGTTGTGAAATTTCATTTGCATAATCTATATATATATCCTCTTAAATAAATTTCAAACATTTTTTTTTTTCAGTGAAACTATATTTCATCTGTTATTTTCTGTACCCTTACTCTATATGAGGTTGGTCAACTTTACCCACCTCGTAACCACCATAAATAGTTTTGAAATAAATATAAATTTCCCCCCTTTTTTTTTTCTCTCTAGAATGACTTAGAATTGTAACAGTATCTTGCATCTCTTTCTACTTAAATTGTATCGATTTATTGCCCTTTGAACCATGTCTAACTAATAATCCTGCCACACAAGTTGTAAATTACTTGAAAAACATGTAGCTTCTGTAACACTACTGAATTATATAAGGCATGGGCTACTCACACATACTTACGAAAATATTTTTCTTTGCCTTATCAAGCTAACCTCATGTATTGAAATAACTTTCTAATTTTTAAATTTTAGTCTCTTTTGTAATAATAACTAAATAATACAAGAAAAATAGTACTTAGCTGGATCTTTTTTTTTTTCGTTTGCTGTCAACTGTTGATGGAACTTAATGCTACTTTTTTTATACTAATGGTAATATTAAACTAAGTAATTTTTGTTTAGTTAAATAATGCATCTAAATACAGAATAATGACACTCAAAAAGC